CAAAATGCACTCGCTTTCCGAACACACACACACACAGATAGCCTCTCGACAATATGCGTTTTTGCTAGCTGTAGCAGCGCTATTGCGAAGATGATATTGGCTAACTCTAAGGAATCACATATCAACTGCATAAAATTGTAGAAATTTTAGAAATACAAACAGTGAATATTCCTAGCAAGGAGAATGGGCCTGTGGAGAGGAACACAATCGAATTTTGAAAATTAATGAAAAACAAGTGCCATTTAGATTCTCCAAATAAACGCAAGCCTGTATGTGCAGTGGCTTGGTCGCCTGTCTGTGTTTCATCCTTGAGCTGTAAACACAGACGGCAGAATCAGTGCAAAACGGGCTGGAAATCATCAGCACAGTGCCCTGTTCCGCCATGTTAAAAAGAACATGCTGATTACCGAAGGAAAATAAAGAAGAGAGGGAAATGAAGTGTCGTAGAAGCTTTAAAAATACAAACAGTGATGGGGGAGGGGGCGCAATCAGCATAAACTTGTCACTCAATCAATATACCTCAGATGCCCTTCGGAGCTGGGGAAAACCGCAATTTCATTCGTTTCTCAACGTATTTCGCATGTTATAAGGGCACTGAACTATATTTTGCGATTTCTTGGAATTTTTTTTTTTGTGGAATTTCTGCTAGTGGGTATGGCATGCGAGAAACAGCGCTACTTTTCTGTTACAAGTTAAGGGTTTGACTGCCAGTGTGAACTGTTGACTCAGATGACAAGCCAGCAATGGTGTATTGCCGAAAGTCGAAATTCCATCAACCTTCTTATAAGCAACACACAAAAAAGGGGAGTAACAAAACATAGCTAGTAAATCGGTGCTGTTGGCATTTATTGTATACGAGATATGCCCCGAGTTCTTCCGCCTCATGGAGTAAATGAATATGGTAAATCTGCTGCCTTTTTTATAATTTTAAATTTTTATTTTGCTTTTTTAATAGAGAGGTATTTTAAAGTAGAAAGAATAAGAGGAAAGAAAACAATATTAAGGAATTAGTAGAAGTAGTAAAATTACTTTGATAGAATTATTACAATAGTAAGAAATGTTTCGGTCCATTAAGTCGTATACATTTCTTGCCATTACCAGAATTCGTGTTTTGAGTTCATCTTTATTTTCAAAACTTGTCGGATAAACCGAAAACTGATTTATACAATCACACACAAAAAAAAAAAATAAACTAACCTTTTTGCATTCTTCAAGTGTTCTTTGGCTTAGCATTGAACCACTAGCAGCAGCTGCTCGATTGGACGTTTCAAAAGCTGATTTTGCCCGGCGTACGCATGGCTCTGTATCACTCAGGCGTCGTCGTGTTGTTCTGTTCCAACGTCTATTTGTGTCTTTCAAACATGGTTCTGAGAATTTTCGATCGATTCCGGCACGTTTGCTTGCATCGATGTCCGACTGACGTCTGAGAAATAAGATCTCCAGATATCTGGTCTCTTTCTTTTACTGATGTCTCTTTCTTTCGCTCATCCGTTTTGCAAATTAGTTACATGGCTGTTCAAAACATGGGCGAGGGGGTGGGCGGTAAGACTTTACTAATGATTCCTGCTCCTACTCGCATGCACAGTTCGATTTGTGCTTACAGCTAAGGAATGAAACACAGACTGTACCATAAAATGTCTTCATATACATGAAGTTCCAGTCTAATCCCTCTGTTTTTCTATTTCACCAAATGTATTTATTGTTAATAAAGTGCTATGTTTTAGCCCGTTTTCGAGTGCCTTTGGCATTCAAAATGTGCCAGAAATATTGGTTTCTGGTAAAAACAGAGCCTGCCATGGTGCAGTCAGTTCTGAACGTATACAAAAAATGGTACCTTGTCCCGACCGGAAGTAGCTCAAGACTATCCGCTGGAAGAAGTGTCGTCATCGGTGGAGCAGCAAGCAAACCTTGTTCTGATTGACGGCCACTGCTTCGATCCTCGTCCCAGTCGCCAGCGGCTTCCTTAAGGTGCTTTTCATCACCAATTTGGCAATTTTTTCGGCACTGGGCCAGTTCAGTTCCTGTTAAATTCAATTCGTGCTCTCTAAATCTACTTTTTCTCGTTTTCTGAACCTATTTTTTGATAAAAATACTTCATGTGCGAGAAGATAGGGTACCTCAAAGTAACTTAGGAAGTTGCATCGCTTGAAAGCGATGCTCCAAATACACTAAAAATATTGAGAAACGGATACAGGTTTCGGTCAGAAGATTTCTGAACTGATAATTCAACAATCAGCAGTAAAAGACACGAAAATTGAGATTACCAGCAAGGCTAACCAACAGGTAACGAAGCACTGATCAAAGCAAGTGGGAAAGTTGTCAAATGCAATAGCTGAAGAATCAGACTATGAGCCACATAGAAATATTCAAAACTATTAGCCAAATTCTTGCCGCAGGAAAAAAAAACCCACAATTGTAATGGCATTTTTGAGAAAAGAAAAAAAAAGCTCTCCAGACTATTTCGGAATGCGGTGGTACAATAAAAACGTTGATTAGAAAAAAGACAGAAACAACTGCCAACTGATGTACCAAATAAAAATGGACGATAATTCTAATCAATTGATAAAACACAAGCAATTAATCATCAGTGAACGATCTGTTGTGGGATACCTTACTTTGCGGATTCGAAATTCTACATCCATGGAGAGCGCTGAATTTCCACCGATCCGCACGAATCGTCGTCGCCTTGAGGAGCCCCGAGAACTGCTCTGAGCTGCCGTTTCCACTTCCTCTCCCTCCCCCTTCCTCATATCCATCATTTCAATTTCCTCGCCTTCTTTTGTCCTTTCGCTGGACTGTTGCATCGATTCACATGAGCTTTCTGCCTGAAACTAAGAGGAT